TTGATTGTCTGTGCCTCTGGGGTCTTTTCCAAGAAGTCTTTGCCCATGCCAGTGTCTTACAGGGTTTCCCCAATGTTCTCTAATAATTTGATGGTATTGGGTCATCGTAGAGACATCATTGATTTAATTTATTCCAAGGTATTTTATTTTTTTTTGTAGCTGTTGTGAATGGGATTGATCTTAGAAGTTCATTCTCACCTGTGGCATTGTCTGTATACAAGACTGTTGATTTTTCTGTGTTAATTATATATCCTGCCTCTTTACCTAACTCTTCAGTGAGTTCCAGTTGTCTCTTATTGGAATATTTTGGATCCCCTATATATAGAAGCATGTTATCTGCAAATAGGGATAGTTTGACTTCCTCCTTCCCAATTTAAAAATCTTTGATTTCTTTTTCTTGCCTAATGTCTCTGACTAAAACTTCCAGGACTTTATTGAATAACAATGGTGAGAGTGGGCATCCCTATCGAGTTCCAGATCTTAGTGGGAATGCTTCCAGTCTTCCCCATTCAATAGGACACTGGCCATGGGTTTGTCATAAATTGCCTTGATTGTGTTAAACAATGTTCCTTCTATACCTAATTTTCTTAGATTTTTTTTATCATGAAAGGGTGTTGTATTTTATCAAATGCTTTCTCTGCATCAATTGATATAATCATATGTTTTTTGTTCTTCAATTGATTAATGTGACATATCACATTCATTGATTTGTGAATATTGTACCATCCCTGCATCCTGTGTTCAGCAGGGCAATTGATCTGTAGTTCTTTTTCTCTGTTGCTTATTTTTCAGGTTTATGAATTGAGGTGATACTGGTTTCATAGAAAGAATTTTGGAGGATTACTTCCCTTTCAATTGTTTCAAATAGCTTGAGAATAACTGGAGTTAGTTCATCTTAAATGTCTGGTAGAATTCAGCGGGGAAGCCATTTGGTCCTCGGCTCTTCTTTGTTGGGAGTGTCTTTAATATTGATCCAATTTCTGTCTTGGTTATGAGTCTGTTTAAGTTTTCTCTGTCTTCATGACTCAATTTAGGTAGGTTGCATGTGTCCAGGAATCTATCCATTTCTTCTAGGTTTCCTGATTTGTTGGCATACAGCTCTTTGTAATTTTTGATGATTCTCTTTATTTCTCTGGTGTCTGTTGTTACATTTTCTTTTTCATCTCTAATTTTATTGATTTGGGTCTTCTCCTTTTTTTGGTTAGTTGGGCCAATGGTGTGTCAAATTTGTTTATTTTTTCAAAAAATCAGCTCTTTGTTTTGCTGATCTTTTGAATTCTTTTTGTTTCAATTTTGTTGATTTATTCTCTAATTTGAATTATTTTCTTTCTTCTGCTAGTTTTGGGCTTCATTTGCTGTTTTTTTTCTAAATCCTTGTAATGCATTGATAATTCATTTATTTGGTGCCTTTCCAATTTCTTGATGTAGGCACCAATTGCTATAAACTTTCCTCTGAACACTGTTTGTGCTGTATCCCATGAGTTTTGGTATATTGTGTTGTCATCTTCATTTGTTTCCAGAAATTTTTTATTTCTGTTTTGTTTCTTCTCTGACCCACTATTCATTTAGGAGCATGTTGTTCAGTCTCCATATGTTTGCATATGCTCTAGAGATTCCTGAATTATTGATTTCCAGCTTCATTCCATTGTGGTCAGTGAAGGTGCATGGTTTGATTTTGATTTTTTTGAATTTGCTGAGACTTGCTTTATGGCCTAGCATGTGGTCAATCCTAGAGAAAGTTCCATGCACTGGTGAGAAGAATGTGTATTCTGTGACTGGAGGATGGAAAATTCTGTAGATATCTGTTAGGTCCATTTGGTCTAGAGTGTAGATTAACTCTGTTGTTTCCTTGTTGATTTTCTATCTTGTTGATCTGTCCATTGCTGAACATGGGTATTGAAGTCCCTTCATTACTATTGTATTGGAATCTATGCCTGCATTTAGATCTATTAACATTTCTTTTCAGCAGCCAGGTACCCTGTAATTAGGTGAATGCACGTTTATAATAGTCACATCTTCCTGTTGATTTGATCCCTTAATCATTACATAGTGCCCTTCTTTGTCTCTTTTAACAGTTTTTGTGTTAAAGTCTATTTTGTTTGATATTAGGTAGGCTACACCAGCTCTATTTTGGTTTCTGTTAGCATGAAATATCTTCTTCCATCTTTTCACTTCCAGTCTGTGTGTATCTTTGTTGGCGAGATGTGTTTCTTGTAGGCAGCAAATACATGGATCCTGTTTTTTCCATCCATTCTGTCAGTTGGATCCTTTTTTTTTTTTTAGTATCTATCGTATTATCTCGGACAGGCAGAGTGGACAGTGAGAGAGAGAGACAGAGAGAGAAAGGTCTTCCTTTGCCGTTGGTTCACCCTCCAATGGCCGCCGCTGCAGCCGGCGCACCGTGCTGATCCGATGGCAGGAGCCAGGATCCAGGTGCTTTTCCTGGTCTCCCATGGGGTGCAGGGCCCAAGCACCTGGGCCATCCTCCACTGCACTCCCTGGCCATAGCAGAGAGCTGGCCTGGAAGAGGGGCAACCGGGACAGAATCCGGCGCCCCGACCGGGACTAGAACCCGGTGTGCCGGCGCCGCAAGGTGGAGGATTAGCCTATTGAGCCACGGCGCCGGCCTAGTTTGTATCTTTTAACTGATGAGTTGAAGCCATTTACATTCAAGGTGCCTATTAATAAGTAACAACTTTTCCCTGTCATTTTTCCATACATATTCCTACTGTTTACTTTGCATTTACTTTGTACATTTACTGGGAGATTTTTTGCCTTCACCTTCTTTCAAAGTGATGACCATGTTTCTGTGTATAGCACATCCTTAAGCCTCTTTTGTAAGGCTGGGCAAATGGTGACAAATTCTTTGAATTTCTATTTGTTATGGAAGGTCTTTATTTCACCTTCATTCATAAATGGGAGCTTTTCAGGGTACAGTATTCTTGGTTGACAGTTTTTTTCTCTTAAGACTTGGAATATACCTTGTCGTTCTCTCCTAGCCTTGTAGGGTTTCTGATGAGAAGTCAGCTGTGAGTCTAATAGGAGATCTTCTGAAAGTAATCAGGCATTTCTGTCATGCACATTTTAGAATCTTTCCTTTATGTTTTACTGTAGAGAGTTTGACTACAGTGTGTCATGTGAAAACCTTTTCTAGTCGTGTCTATTAGGAGTTCTGTGTGTTTCCTGTACTTGGACGTCCCTTTGTTTCTCCAAAGTAGGGATGTTTTCTGTAATTATCTCACTAAAAAGGCCTCCTAATCCACTTTCTCTTTTCACACCTTCAGGAACTCCTAAGACCTGTATGTTGGGTTTATCTCCAACACTGTGTTTTAGTTTTCTAATTCCTTCTCCTTCTCCTTCTCCTTCTTCTCCTTCTTTTTCTTCCTCTTCTTCTTCCTCTTCTTCTTCCTCTTCTTCTTCTTCTTCTTCTTTTTTTTTTGTCTAAATATAAATTTCCAGGATTTGTCTTCTAGCTCAGACAATGTTTCTTCTCCTTCACTGATTCTGTTGTCAAGGCTTTCCACTGCATTTTTTATTTGTTCTATTGAATTCTTCGTTTCCAAAATTTCATTTCGGATTCTCTTTAAGATCTCAATTTCATGGGAGAAATTTTCATTAGTTCCTGGATTTGTTTCTTATTGATTCTAAGTAATCCTGTGATTAATTTTTTGAATTCCATTTCTGTCATTTCTTCAATCTCTTCATCTTCACATTCTAGTATTGAAATGTTGTGTTCTTTTGGGGGCATCATGTTTTCTTCCTTATTCTTGTTTCTTGAATAGCTGCATTTGTTATGAGGCATTTGTGGAGATTCTTGTTGGTTTCTTTTTGCTTTGTTTTGTTTTTTTCCCTGTGATGGCTTTTATCCTTGGACTGTGCTTCTGTAGCTTTTTCAGTAAATACACCCTGAGCGCTCTTAATGCTGACTTGTGCCAGAGGGGCGCTTTCAGTGTTTCACCTTGTCTTTGCAGTCTTTATTACCAAGATGTTGGTCTCCCTGAGAGACAACTGGGAAACTCAGAGGGGAAGCCCAGGGTCAGGCCTTCAGCTACTGGTGAAAGTGCCCACATCCCATGTCATTGCAATGGGTTTGGGTCCCCGCTGCACTCCGGAATCCAGCTTCCTGCTAACGCAGACCCTGGAAGGCAGTTGTGACAACTCAGCTGCCTCAGTTCCTGCCACTGTGTGGGAGACCTGGATTGAGTGCCCAGATTCTGGCTTTGGCCCACTTCCAGCTGTTTCAGGCATATGGGAAGTGAACCAGTGGATATGAACTCTCTCTCTGTCTCCCTGCCTCTCAACTGAAAATTTTTGAAGTGTGAGGAACGTGGATTAAAGTAGATATCGCAGTTTGCCTGGTCCTGTCTCCAGCAGCCACTCACAGGTAGTTTCGATTCCCCACTTCCAGCTCCTGTCTCACTGTTTACATCTGCATGTCCTGAATGCCTCCCCCAGGGTAGCATGTAGCTCCCCAATCCTGAAAGTGCTGTTCATTAGACAAATGGAATTTCCATTCCTTGCTTAAGAGTACTGTATGGCCGGCGCCGCAGCTCACTAGGCTAATCCTCCGCCTTGTGGTGCCGGCACACCAGGTTCTAGTCCTGGTCGGGGCACCGGATTCTGTCCCGGTTGTCCCTCTTCCAGGCCAACTCTCTGCTGTGGCCAGGGAGTGCAGTGGAGGATGGCCCAAGTGCTTGGGCCCTGCACCCCATGGGAGACCAGGAGAAGTACCTGGCTCCTGCCTTCGGATAGGCACGGTGCACCAGCTGCGGCGGCCATTGGAGGGTGAACCAACAGCAAAAAGAAGACCTTTCTGTCTGTCTCTCTCTCTCACTGTCCACTCTGCCTGTCAACAAAAAAAAAAAAAAAAAAAAAAAAAGAGAGAGAGAGAGTACTGTAAGAACAGCTCTCTTAAAAATGCACTCTTAAAATAGTTCTGAATGGGCCGTAGCGGAGCGCTCTGGCTCTGTGTGCGTGTGTCTGGCTGAGGTTCGGCCGCGGACGGTTTGTTGAGCCTGTTAGTGCCCTCAGCTGAGACTCACGCCGCCGCCATGTCCCACTACCTGTGCCCCCCGAACACATCTCTGTTCGTCAGGAACGTGGCGGACGACACCAGGTCTGAAGATTTACGGCGCGAGTTTGGTCGCTATGGTCCTATAGTTGATGTGTATGTTCCGCTTGATTTCTACACTCGCCGTCCAAGAGGATTTGCTTATGTTCAATTTGAGGATGTTCGTGATGCTGAAGATGCTTTACATAATCTGGACAGAAAATGGATTTGTGGACGTCAGATTGAAATACAGTTTGCACAGGGAGATCGGAAGACACCAAATCAGATGAAAGCCAAGGAAGGGAGGAATGTGTACAGTTCTTCACGTTATGATGATTATGACAGATACAGGCGTTCTAGAAGCCGAAGTTATGAAAGAAGGAGATCAAGAAGTCGGTCTTTTGATTACAACTATAGAAGATCTTATAGTCCTAGAAACAGACCGACTGGAAGACCTCGCCGTAGCAGAAGCCATTCCGACAATGATAGACCAAACTGCAGCTGGAATACCCAGTACAGTTCTGCTTACTACACTTCAAGAAAGATCTGAAAGCGGAAAAAGAACCAAAGAAGGGCAGTTCAAGCGACCAAAGGGTGGGTGGAAGGTGCTGCAGTATGAATACTGTACGAATATTTTGACTCTGGTCTGAAAAGATAAAAGAATTATCGAAAACTACATGGAATAATTGAAGTCCCTTCAAGTTTGAAAGTAAGCATTTTAGGACAAATAAAAGGAAGTTCAACTTTGTACTTGTGGAAACTAATCCCTAAATATGAATAGGTTTATATTGATTCATGGGTAACAGGTCCATAATAAATTATTTGAAACTAGGATGTCTGAATATCAAGGAAGACAGCCATAGTCTCTTACAGTGCCTCTATTGGTCTGTCTCAAACTGAATTGGGTGGGAAAAGGTATGGTCCAATATAAATTTTTTCTGGATTCTCCTTAAAATTCCTCTTTAGCCATTATTGGCAAACTTTGCCTTTGTTTATTCTGGTGCCAGTATTTTCTGCTTAATCATTTGCTTCGTTGGCATCTGAGTATATTTGCTTAAATACCACATACAGTTGACTTCTTTAACCACTTTTTCCCACGTAGATTCCAATTATACTTGACATCCAGCTGAGGGGGCCCATCTCTTCTCACCTCTTTCCTAATCAGTATGTTCAGTGAATATTTATTGAGCCCTTAACAGTGGGCAAAATATTGTACTAAGTAATTGGATAGAAAAATAGATAATTCCCATATTCAATAAATGTCTACTGAGCACAATCTTGTGTATCATTACATATGGCCTCACTGTTTTGTTTGAGGTGTATTATTTGTAACTATATTACACCATTCACATCTTAATGTAATTATAAAACCCGATATACTATCAAAGATAAGTAATTTTGTGGTTTATCTGCCTTTTAAAAAGTATCCAGTATTTGTTTGCACCCCATTAATAATGAAAAAATGTTTCAATCTGTAATAAACTGATTTATTGTGCCGTTACTGTAATATACTAGAGTTATATTAAATTGTTAACTCTGCCTCGTCAAATACATTAGGAAATAATCCCACAAATAAGTATTTAACTTTGCATTAGATATAAAGGAGATTCTGGGTGCTATAATTAGATTATTTTGAGGCAGACAGAGAGCTGTTATCCCAACTGATTTAGTATGTTCTGTAATGAGAAAATGTTCACCAAATTATACTTTTTAGTGATTTACATGTACATTTTATAGGGGACATGTTCTGTGTATAGTGAATAAATAACTTTTATAGTATCACAAAAAAAAAATAGTTCTGAATGGAGATTTTTAAATAATTTGAAAAATATCAAAATTTTGAAATGCAGTAGATTCTGTATCTCTAATTAAACATTTGACAATATATACAAGGCAAGTCATTACAAAGGAAAAAATATTCCTTTGGCCAATCCTCCATATCAAGTAGACTCTAAAGCAATAAGCCCTAAACCTGAGCCTCAAAATGCCAGGATGGAGGCTGTCCAGCTCATATATAAATCCCTCTTCTTTTCATATGGTTTCTTATCCATGGTACACGAAAGCAAATATAATTATATGTTTTGTCTGTGGGTGCCCAGACTTGTAGCCTTCACTTTCAGATTCTTTAGTGTCTGAGAATGAAAGCCCAGCTGCAGCATGAGGAAGACAGTGCCAGTGGGAGGCGGAAGAGACGTGATGAGGACGTGGGAACAGTAGCAAGCTGGACTCCAGCAGGCACACGAAGCTACCGAAGCTGCCGGAGTCCGTTCCTGAATACGGGCTGTGAGGCCCAGCTCTTTCACTCCTGCACCTCTAGCCCTGGAAAGGCCCTCGTCGCAACCAGCGTCCCAGCAGGACGCAGCCGCCATCTCAAGTAAGTACAGTGAAAGGGAGGTGGCGTTGTGACGCAGTGGGTTAAGCCTCTGCCTGCAATGCTGGCATTCCGTATGCGTTACATGAGTTCTGGTTTATGTCCTGGCTGCTCTGCTTCCCATCCAGCTCCCTGCTAATGCAACCTGGGAAAGCAGTGGAAGATGGCCCAAGAATGTGGGCCTTTGCCACCCACGTGGGAGATTCAGATGGAGTTCTAGGCTCCTGGTTTCTGCCTGGCCCAGTTCCAAGCATGTGGCCACTGGGGAGTGAGCCAGTGGATAAAGGATCTCTTTCTTTCTCTCCCTGTAACTCTGCCTTTTAAGTAAGTAAGTAAGTAAATAAATAAATAAGCACTTTTAGGATGATAAAGGAACTGAGGGGGTAGTTCAAAAACTTCATGGGCAACAAAATTGAGTACGAAAAAAAAACAGCTTCATGGGCAATGGACGTTCTCTCTTAATTCTTCTTCCAGGAACTTTTGGACACCTTTGAACTCACCCAGATGTGCAAGGGCTTTGGGGAACCTTCAAGGCATGATTCTATAACCCAGGGTTCTAATAACACAGCAGTTTGTTCCCTTGGACCCCGTGGTGGCAAGAATGACTGGGACCTGGGAGACACGCGTGGAGAAGGCCACCGTCAAAGGACCAGCAACCTTCAGGTCAGAGAAGACAGCCGGCTCCAGGTGTGCCCGTGGAGAGAGAGCTATGGACCAAGGACCCCAGACTCTACAGTTCTGCTCCCGGTCTCCCAGCAGGAGTCTTCACCACAGTGAAATCCAGCTGCAGTTCGGAGGGCAAGGAAGCTTGCTGCTATCTAAATAGGTCAGCTATCCCTAGCACAGAGTAAGGCAAGGGGTGGCTTTGGAAGTGCAATGGCAAATACTGTACTGCTTATGTGGGATTAGGAGCAAGGGGAAGAGGAAGAGAGAGAGAGAGAGAGAGAGAGAGAGAGAGACAGACCTTGTCTAAGACCTTGGATGGTAAATTGGAAACTGGAATGTGGCCCGAGGGACAAGCCAGCCTAATGTTTTCTCGCCTGTGTGGGAGAGAAAACAATGAAACTGACGCAGCACAGAGTTTCTGGAACCGGTCGGGTGGTTCCCACACATGGTGTTATTTAAGGCTGAATCAGCCAGACTTTGGTATTGCTCTGTGAGTTATTGTCATTGTTTGTTTCAGGCCCTCCGAATGAGACCCTGGAGGGTGGGAATGGGATACACCCTGAAGGAAATATCTGTGGCTCCTCTCAATGAGGTGGGCCTGGGACTGCAAGAAGGCCCTCTGTCTGGGCCTGGGAAGATGTGAAGACTGTACTTGGAGGGTTGGAGCTCACCAGGTTCCCACCAATGAAGTAGGCTGGTTTCCACCAGCAGCCACCCTGTGTGGGGAAGCTGGGCAGGGCTGTTGGTTGGGACCTCTGCATCTAGGAGTGGTTAGGACACCTACTGCTGTCTTTGTGCTAAGCCCATGCCTCTGCACATTCTTGATACAAGTCATACTTGCTGTCATCTGCACTGGGAGAGCTGTTTTACTCTCTTCGGGAGAGTGTAGGGGATCTGGGCACGGCCACAGGGCAGAGTTAATGTCATGGCTGGAAGAAGTTGGGGTGGGAGAACCACATGAAGGACATAACCAGGTGGGCATCAGGTCCAAGGAGTTATGTCATAATGCCGTGAGTGTTAAAGAGAAGTGTGACTTCGTTTCACAGTCACAAGGTGGGAAAGCCAAGCGTGCAAACTAGACACGGCAAAGCCCACCTTCCTCAGTCTCATAGTCTTCCTGCTTCTACCAACTCCTTGCTCTGCTCAATACATACTCTTCATAGATGCTTAAGTCCCACTAGTCTATGTAATGTAGACAACTTTGATTACACCTAGAGTGGCAGTGGGAAGCCCAAAACCTAGACGTCTTGGAGGAGGTACAAGGTCAGATGGCAGTACGGCATGAGAATGCAGGCTGGAACTCCATCAGGGTCTCACACACGTGGGTGGCAGGGGCCCGGCACTGAAGCCATCATCTGCTGTCTTCCAGGATGCACAGTTAGAAAGATGGGTTGGAGCAGAATAGGTGAGACTTGGGGCCAGTGCTGTGGCGCAGCGGGTTAAAGCCCTGGCCTGAAGTTCTGGCATCCCATATGGGCGCCAGTTCTAGTTCCGGCTGGTCCACTTCTGATCCAGCTCTCTGCTATGTCCTGGGAAAGCAGTAGAAGATGGCCCAAGTCCTTGGGCCCCGTGTGGGAGACCCAGAGGAAGTTTCTGCCTCCCGGCTCGGATTGGCACATCTCTGGCCGTTGCAGCCATCTGAGGAGTGGGCCAGAGATGGAAGACCTCTCTCTCTGTCTCTACCTCTCTCTGTGACTTTGTCTTGCAAATAAATAAATCTTTAAAAAAAATAGCTGAGACTTAAACCAAACACTCCAGTATAGGATGTGGGTGTCCCAAGTGGCATTTTAACCTGCCACACCACAAAATGTGCCCCATGAATGCCGTATTTTAGGGTAGTTGTCAGTATAAAATGAATCACCACATGTAAAATGCTTAGAAAAGTGTCTGGAACTTACTAAGTTTTCAGTTCATTCTCTGATTCACTCATTTGTTTTTCAGGAAGTGTGTTAGCTGAGTTGTGTTCCAGTGACTGTCCCTGGCTAGGAGTAACACAGGTGAGAATGCTTGCCTGATAAGGCTTACTGCTAGGGCATAGCGTGAGGAGATCTTTGCAGTTCAATCCTCACATTCACATCTCACACTCCCCGTGAGTGGAGCAGGGGGCAGGTTGTGGGCAGACAGGGACAGGGCCCAGCAGCTTTGCTGATGGTAAGCCCTTCTGATTTGTTGCTGAGACTGAAGGGAGAAATGTGTTGCTATCGAAATTGCTCATTCTTCCTGAATTGCTAATGCTTCCTTGAGGATTTACGGGTTCAACACTACTGAACTGGGGATTGGGAGTTAGACCGAGTGGCTGACCTACTTCACCACTGTACTGGAAAGAACAGCCTGGCTCACGGTGGAGTTGAGTTCTGGGAGTTAAGAAGAACTTGCCGCTTGTGAACTCTGCAGTAGGAAGAGGTGAAAGTTGAGCGTTGGTTCAACATGGAAGTTTTGGAGAGGCCTGAACAAGTCTCTGTGTTTTGGAGGATGAGTCCTTCCAGCAAGGGCCTAAAACCCTCAATTTAATTTAAAGACACCAAGCGTCCCCACAGCCCCATTGACACATGACTGCAGCTCACTCCAACACATGCTTTTAGGCATGGTGTCCAGGGTTAAATGTTTACAAACACTGCACTTTCTTTGCAGGGCTGGATCTGGGAGTTCAGTTTGCATATTTGTTAGTTTTATCAACAGATTCCAGGAAAAGAACTTGGGGAAAAAGACTTACAAAAAGAAGGAAGACCAGAACAATTTTCTCATGAAATTTTGCATCAGAGACACTTTTTTTCCATATTTATTATACAAGTTTTATTCATTCATCCATTCAGTAAATGCTCTTTGGGAGGCTACTTTGTGTCAAGGCGTTGCAGATCCACGTTGGAGATAACATCAATAGCAGAAAAGCAAAAACAGTACCAAAAATCTGTGATTCTGGCCCTCATAGAACTTAAAATTTCATGGGAGACATGGCTGCTAATGAAACTGATTTTAGCGGTAAGTGCACAGTTAATAGCTAGGCTGTTTGCAAGAGAAAATGAAGGCATTGCTTTTGGCCGCACCCACATATCCACTGACCAAGTGCACACACCTTCTTTACCTGGTCATCCAAGCCAGAGCCTGTGAGCAGTTCAGGTCTCAGCTTCTTCTACTCCTCATAGTATTCAAAGGCTCTCAGATTCTACCTTTGGAAGCTGCACAAACCCATCTCTGCCAATGCACACCCATGGCATTGTGTTGGGGCTGGGCCATCTCCCTCAGCTTCCTGGAGCAGGAGGGAGCCTCTCACCTCCAGAGCTACCACCATCCGGGGCACTGGCTTGGAAAGCAAGGCTGCTGGGCCAGCAGCAAGAGCTGCTGCAAACTAACTGAAAATGCACATACTTGGATCCAAGTGCAGACCTACTGGACTGGGGGCTCTGGCCATGGGCCAGGCCGCCCGTGTTTTCCCATGACCTCTAGGTGACTGGGAAGAGACCCACGATGGAGAACCGTGGCTCAGGCACAGGGTCCATTGGGAGCTATTCTTCAAAGTCAAAATCTGATCTTGCATCTTCTCTGTGAGAAACACCTGCATGCCTCCTGTCACTCTTAGAATAAGTTTCCAGTCTAGTTCTGGGCCCTGGGTCAGTCACCTGGCCCCTGCTCCCACACCCAGCTTACTTCTGCCCCCAGCCATTGGAAAGATGGCTTCTTGCACACAGGGTTTCTTCTCTATCTCTTTCTTCTGCCTACCAAGGCCGACTGGGTCCTGGTCTGCATGTGCCCCTTTCACTTCCCGCCTTCACTACATGGTGGGCAGGGCTGATAGGGTTTCCCTGGCCTCTTGTAGGTGAGTGGCTCCCTCTCCAGCATTCCCCTCTGTACCGCTCTTCCTCTGTGGGCTCACAACAGGGGGAAGGAGCCATCACCATCTCTATTTCTGTGCCATTTCCGGACTCTGGGTGTAATGCTTTTACTTGATTCTCTGTAAATGTTGATGGAGCCAATTGAACCGAGCTGAGTGTGCCCTCTGGCCCCCTACTCATCCTGGCATTTGTTCCGTTGCTGACTTTTGGACACTGCACTCAGACTGCCCCTGGGCAAGTCAATCACACTATCTCTAAATTGAAAATCAAAGTACATACTTTGTCAATCTCAGGATTTTTGAGGCTCAGATGAGGAGCCCAGGAGGTTCAGCTTAACTCTCTCTCTTCAGATTGAGACATTAGCTTCAGTCAAACCTGAGTTTTCTCTGCTTTTCTGGACCCTGTAATTTGGGCAGCTTCCACCTGATGGCCCTGCCCCTGCCCTGCCTGTTGTCTCCTGTTCCGACACTAATTCCCAGTGATGGTAAACTGGAGGAATGGGATGACGTGGAAATGTGAGAAACTGAGGCTTGTGGTGACACCTGTTCACAAGGGAAGATTTCTGCATAGTGAGCCAGGAAATGAGGAGGAGGAGGGAGAGAGGAGGACGAAGATGGCACAGGGGAAAGACAGGGCCAGGAGGCCCTCTGCTTTCCTAGGACTCTCTCCTCTCATCCTACTCTGACCTGGACATAGGAACTGTAATTCTCTCAGCAGAAGAGGAACCAGGTTCTCAGAGGTTGCGATACTTACCAACACAGCTAAGAAGTGTCAGGGCCAGGATTTGATTCCAGAGTCTGTACTCAATGTCCATGAGATGGCTCTGCAATGGTTTCAGGCTACAATGAACCAGGAGCAGAAGGAACCCAGCCGTGGAGCCAGCGGGGGAATCTGACTTCAATGGGGAAAGCAATCGTTCACCTTCTCGCGCACTCTTTCATTTTTCATTTACAGGAGCCAGCCTGGTAGAGTGGTTAGTGCAGGTTCAATTGTATGAGCCCAAATTCACACACTGGGGTTCTAACCCCTGGCACCCCAGGTTCCTTAGAAGGACAGTCAAGACAAAACGAGGACTGTATGATGGACTCTAACCCACCGTAATTGGTGTCCGCATAACAGGGGGAAATTTGTGCTATGGCACAGTGGGTGAAGCTGCCACTTGCAATGACATCATCCCATTTTGGGACTCTACTTCAAGCCCTTGCTGCTCTGCTTCCAATCCAGCTTCTTGCTAATGTACCTGGGAAAGCAGCAGAAGATAGCTCAAGTACTTGGGTCCCTGCTAGCCATGTGGGAAACCTGGATGGGGTTCCAGGCTGCAGCCTGGTCCCTACCTGTAGATTGCATCCATCTGGGCAGTGCATCAGCAGATGGAGCATCTCTCTGTCTCTCTCTCCCTCTCCTTATCTTGCTTTCTGTCATTTTGCCTCTGAAATAAATAAATTTTTGTGTTTTTAAAGACAGGAGTGGGGTTGGATCTGTATATTTTATTTTATTTTATTTTTTTTATTTTTTTGACAGGCAGAGTGGACAGTGAGAGAGAGAGACAGAGAGAAAGGTCTTCCTTTGCTGTTGGTTCACCCTCCAATGGCCGCCACGGCCGGCGCACTGCGCTGATCTGATGGCAGGAGCCAGGTGCTTCTCCTGGTCTCCCATGGGGTGCAGGGCCCAAGCACCTGGGCCATCCTGCACTGCACTCCCTGGCCACAGCAGAGAGCTGGCCTGGAAGAGGGGCAACTGGGACAGAATCTGGTGCCCCGACTGGGTCTAGAACCCAGTGTGCAGGCACTGCAAGGCGGAGGATTAGCCTAGTGAGCCGCGGTGCCGGCCTCAGTGGGGTTGGATCTGGACACAGATATACACAGAGGGAAGAAAGGCCAGGACCTGATGTTTGTCTACAGGCTTAGGAGAGAAAGCCTAAGACAAACCCCTCACTCAAGCCCTAGGAAGGAACCAGCCCTGCCAATACTTTCCCTTTGGACCTCTGCTCTCCAGAAATATGAAAGAAATGTATTTCTCTTCTTTGGTTTTTGACCTTACTACAGCAGCCTTAGCAAATAATGTGGTGGTGGAAAGTCTGAACTACAGATTCGTTTGAGTCCCTTGGCTTTGCAACTGTGAGCGAGGTGCTCAACTTCTCTGTCCTTCAGTTTCTTCCAGGGCAATCTCTAGAACCTGTTACAAAGAGCTGATACACGGAAAGAGTAGGTAGTGCTTGGTAAGGGGAATGTAGGCTGATCCTGGCTAGTCCGGGCATCGTGTCTGCCTCTCTAACTCGGAATACAAATGAAGTCACTGTAGGGCCTTTCATTCACGGTGGTGGCACCAGGGAAGAATGGGTGGTCCTGCTGATCTTCATACACGTGGGGCAGGTTGTCCAGTAGGGTTTCTGGCTCCTGGTTCCATGGATGAGGGCTTCTTTCAAGCTGGAGAAGGCAGGGAAGGGGAGGAGAGAATAATATCCACTGAGGACTTAGCATGTACTAGCCATGTTCTCTTCCTGGGGCGGGTAGGGGGTGTTCTAGCACACTGGGTCACTTAAGACATCAGATACTTATCATCTCAGAGTTCTAAAGGCCAGAAGTCTGAGACCAACAGAACCTCTCTCCCCGCGAAGATTCTAGGGGACAACTTCTTCTGTCTCCTCCAGCTCCAGGCTGCGGGAGCTCCGGGACTTGTTGCTGCACAGCCCCTGTCTTTGCCTCCATCTTCACACGGCTTCTCCTCCTTGTGTCCACGTCATGTCCTCGCTGCCTCTTCCAGGGACACACATCATTGGATTTAAAGTTACGTGGGTATTCCAAGATGACCCCATCTCACTGTCTTTAACTTGAAACATCTGCGAAGACTGTCCAACAAAGTTCACATTTACAGTGTTTCAGGCATGAGGAAGAAGACACATCTCTTTTTTGAGGTCACCATTTAACCCGAGACAGCAAGTATCTCACACAAAGCATCTAGTTCAGTCTGTACAGCAGCTCTACACAATCTCTGTTTTGTGGACAAGGATACTTAGGAAAAAAGGCTGGCGCTGTTGTTATAGGATAGTGGCAGAACAGCATCAAAATATTGATATTCAGGACCTACAGCCCATGCTTATCCTCTACTCATGCTTTAGATTAAGCAAAGTCTTTAAAATCGTCTAAAGAGCAGCATGTCATTTTTGCCGCAGGCACCCCAACAGAAGAGAATGAAGCAAGAATTGAGCTCATGGCTTTCCCAGGAGATACCAGCTGGATGAGAAACACAATCTTCTTTGAAAATGACATTTTTATGCTTCGGCATTATGTTTGTATTCACAACGAGGACATTTACTTCTAATATTTAACTTTCAGCTGGTAGGAAAAATCTTTGAACTATTCTCAAAGTTTGCGCCAAATATTTTCAGATCCAAAGGCAGACCAAAAATTGTCATTTTGCTCAGCAGATTTCCCCTTCTTGCATTAGTGCCTGGTTTATTCACACTTGAACAAAGATGTTTTAACGAAACCAAGTTTTGTGTGTGTGTGTGTGTGTGTGTGTGTGTGTGTTTCTTTCTGGGAATCTCTCATTTCCCATCATCTGTATTCAAAAGCCTAACCCAAACCAATGTATATGGTCTTTAGTTTGATCCCTTGATTGTTCATCTCATGCACAGATATGTTTTAATCAGGACGCCAAAAATCCACCCTTCTTGCCTGGGGAATTCTGAAAAACAAAACCAGAGAGAAAACCCTGGACGTTTCCATCAAGAGTTTGGAATACAGTTCTTCCTCCTATGAGCTGCGTGCTTTGGGCCAAGCACTTCAACTCCTCGTGTCTCTGTTCCCTCATCTGTAAAGCGAAGTGTAATAGTATTTATCTCATGAGAGTTTCAGAAGACCCCACATTTGGCCCATCTGGGATGGTGCTTGGCATCACCCACACTTCATCAGCACACACCTCCTCCTCCTTCCCACTCTCCTCTTCTTCATTCGGTTACGGTTTCCTCTGTTTTGTCTCTTTACTGAGTGTTCCATTGTTGGCAAAGAAACTTTCTCCCAAGCTGTTTTGAATTCTAGAACAATCCTTGTGAGTTGGCGTCGGTTTCTATATTTTTTAAAAAAGTCAGCCTTTTTTTCTTTTGACTCTGCCTTCCAAATTTTCTGTCCTGGCGTCTTTCTGGGCTTACAGAAACTCTAAAATGTGTTTCTAGGGTACGTTTGTGTGTAAACACCAGGCAATTTAAATCCCCCAGGGTCTGGGAGAGGGGAAAGGAGGTTAGAAGCAACAGTGAACGTCTTTGAGTCTCTGTCTCGTGGTGGGAGTCCAACTCTTCTCTTCTGGTTTATGATGTTCTTGCAAAGCACATGAGCCTTGGATTGGCCCCGTTTCACCCTTTTTGAGCATGTTTAGCTTACCTCTACCCCACTGTGTGTGGGAAGAGCTGGGAAAACAAAGCACATTTCCTCCTTTCCAGGCAGGATGGGCTGCATTCTCACAGTGAGGGCAAGACCAGGGCCTGGGCTGGGCGTTCTGAGCTGGCGGTGCAGGGGAAGGCAGGGTGTGAGGCTCCGGCCCTTGTGCAAGGCAGGGAGACTCCATGATTTAAATTTCCTGAA